GCAGGCGTGGCACTCTCTCGACACTACAGGGGGTGCGCAGGGGGTGGTCTCTCAGCTCGGCCGCTAGCCACGACACTGGCGCAAAGCCTAGCAGGCGTGGCACTTTCTCGACACCACAGGGGGTGCGCAGGGGGTGGTCTCTCAGCTCGGCCGCTATCCACGACACTGGCGCAAAGCCTAGCAGGCGTGGCACTTTCTCGACACCACAGGGGGTGCGCAGGGGGTGGTCTCTCAGCTCGGCCGCTATCCACGACACTGGCGCAAAGCCTAGCAGGCGTGGCACGAGGGGGTGCGCAGGGGTGTCTGACTATACGCACAGCAGGCTAGCAGGCGTGGCACTTTTCGACACCACAGGGGGTGCGCAGGGGTGGTCTCTCACCGCGGTCTCTATACGCCCCAGTCGTCCAGGCATAGCAGGCGTGGCACTTTCTCGACACACACAGGGAGTGCGCAGGGGGTGGTCTCTCACCGCGGTCTCTATACGCCCCAGTCGTCCAGGCATAGCAGGCGTGTCACTTTCTCGACACCACAGGGGGTGCGCAGGGGGTGGTCTCTCACGCGGTCTCTATACGCCCCAGTCGCCCAGGCATAGCAGGCGTGGCACTTTCTCGACACCACAGGGGGTGCGCAGGGGGTGGTCTCTCACCGCGGTCTCTATACGCCCCAGTCGTCCAGGCATAGCAGGCGTGGCAACTTTCTCGACACCACAGGGGGTGCGCAGGGGGTGGTATCTCACCGCGGTCTCTATACGCCCCAGTCGTCCAGGCATAGCAGGCGTGGCACTTTCTCGACACCCAGGGGGTGCGCAGGGGGTGGTCTCTCACCGCGGTCTCTATACGCCCCAGTCGTCCAGGCTAGGCAGGCGTGGCACTTTCTCGAACCACAGGGGGTCGAAGGGGGTGGTCTTCACCGGTCCCTGTACGCACAGTCGTCCAGGCAAGCACGCGTTTCTCGACACCACAGGGGGTGCGCAGGGGGTGGTCTCTCACCGCGGTCTCTATACGCCCCAGTCGTCCAGGCATAGCAGGCGTGGCACTTTCTCGACACCACAGGGGGTGCGCAGGGGGTGGTCTCTCACCGCGGTACGCCCCAGTCGTCCAGGCAAAGCAGGCGTGGCACTTTCTCGACACCACAGGGGGTCCGCAGGGGGTGGTCTCCCAACGCGGTCTCTATACGCCCCTGTCGCCCAGGCATAGCAGGCGTGGCACTTTCTCGACACCACAGGGGGTGCGCAGGGGGTGGTCTCTCACCGCGGTCTCTATACGCCCCAGTCGTCCAGGCATAGCAGGCGTGGCACTTTCTCGACACCACAGGGGGTGCGCAGGGCGTGGTCTCTCACCGCGGTCTCTATACGCCCCAGTCGTCCATGCATAGCAGGCGTGGCACTTTCTCGACACCACAGGGGGTGCGCAGGGGGTGGTCTCTCACCGCGGTCTCTATACGCCCCAGTCGTCCAGGCATAGCAGGCGTGGCACTTTCTCGACACCACAGGGGGTGCGCAGGGGGTTGTCTCTCACCGCGGTCTATACGCCCCAGTCGTCCAGGCATAGCAGGCGTGGCACTTTCTCGACACCACAGGGGGTGCGCAGGGGGTGGTCTCTCACCGCGGTCTCTATAGGGGGGGCGCAGAGGGTGGTCCCTCAGCGCGGCCTCTATCCGTGACACGCTCGCAGATCGTGGCAGGAGTGGCACTTGCTCGACACCACAGGGGTTGCGCAGAGGGTGGTCCCTCAGCGCGGCCTCTATCCGTGACACGCTCGCAGGGCGTGGCAGGAGTGGCACTTTCTCGACACCACAGGGGGTGCGCAGAGGGTGGTCTCTCACCGCGTCTTCTATACGCCCCAGTCGTCCAGGCATAGCAGGCGTGGCACTTTCTCGACACCACAGGGGGTGCGCAGGGGGTGGTCTCTCACCGCGGTCTCTATACGCCCCAGTCGTCCATGCATAGCAGGCGTGGCACTTTCTCTACACCGCAGGGGGTGCGCAGGGGGTGGTCTCTCACCGCGGTCTCTATACGCCCCAGTCGTCCAGGCATAGCAGGCGTGGAACTTTCTCTACACCGCAGGGGGTGCGCAGGGGTGGGTCTCTCACCGCGGTCTCTATATGCCCCAGTCGTCCAGCATAGCAGTCGTGGAACTTTTCACACCACAGGGGGTGCGCAGGGGGTGAGTCCCCCACCGCGATCTCTATACGCCCCGCCGTCCACGGCTAGCAGGGCGTGGCACTTTCTACGACACCACATGGGGGTTGAGCAGGGGGTGGTTTCCCTCACCGCGGTTTCATCTATACGCCACAGTTCGTTCAGGCATAACCAGCAGGGCGTGGCACTTTCTCGACAGCACAGGGGGTGAGCAGGGGTTGGTCCCCCACCGCGATCTCTATATTACGTTTCCCAGTCGTTCCAGGCATAGCAGGCGGGCACTTTCCCGACCACCACAGGGGGTGCGAAGGGGGGTTGGTCTCTCACGCGGTCTTCTATAAGCACCCAGTCGTCCAAGCACAGCAGGCGTGGCACTTTCTCGACAACCAACATCGAGGGCGGCAGGGGGTAGGTATCTCACGGGCCACCTAAGCCCCAGTCGTTACAGCAAAAAGCAGGCGTGCAATTCTTGACAACCACAGGGCTGTGCGGCAGGGGACTTCTCTCCACGCGGTCTCTATACGCCCCCGTTCGTTCCCAGGATAGCAGGCGTGGCACTTTCTCGACACCAAAGGGGCGTGCGCAGGGGGTGGTCTCTCACCGCGTCTCTCCATACGCCCCAGTCGTCCAGGCATAAGCAGGCGTGGCGCTTTCTCGACACCACAGGGGGTGCGCAGGGGGTGGGCTCTCACCGCGGTCTCTATACGCCCCAGTCGTCCAGGCATAGCAGGCGTGGCACTTTCTCGACACCACAGGGGGTGCGCAGGGGGTGGTCTCTCACCGCGGGCCCCAGTCGTCCAGGCATAGCAGGCGTGGCACTTTCTCGACACCACAGGGGGTGCGCAGGGGGTGGTCTCTCACCGCGGTCTCTATACGCCCCAGTCGTCCAGGCATAGCAGGCGTGGCACTTTCTCGACACCACAGGGGGTGCGCAGGGGGTGGTCTCTCACCGCGGTCTCTATACGCCCCAGTCGTCCAGGCATAGCAGGCGTGGCACTTTCTCGACACCACAGGGGGTGCGCAGGGGGTGGTCTCTCACCGCGGTCTCTATACGCCCCAGTCGTCCAGGCATAGCAGGCGTGGCACTTTCTCGACACCATGGGGGGTGCGCAGGGGGTGGAGTCTACCAGGGCGTAGTGCGCGTCACTTGTTCTTGAGGCCACAGGGGTACGCAAGCAGGGGGGGCACCATCATCATCATCATTATCATCATCATCATCAACATCATCAGCATTATCATCCTCAAGAATTGTAGTCACCCTGGCTCATGTCTGCTCAGACCGCGCGATATGTGATCGCGGGCGACTGCTAGTGACTTTCCGTCAAAGGTACGGCCCCCGTCATGGCGCCCAAATGCGCCATGGCCGCGCTGCCACCGCCGTGCGAGCAGCTCAAGAAATCAATACTCGAGATGGGCGCCGAGGTGAATGAAACGAGTTTGGAGGAGTTGGGAGGAGGAGTTGAGAGGAGTGCGGAGGAGTGCAGAAAGATGAATACATAAGGATGTGAGAGGATGAGTTGAGAGCGGTGCGGAGGAGTTGAGGGAAGTGCGGGGGAATAGAGAGGAGTGCGGAGGAGTTGAGAGGATTGGGTGGGGCGAGGAGGAGGAGGACGACGACGACGACGATGACCACGAGTGCGGCGACGTGTACGACGAGCACTACGAGCGCAACGAGTAGGACGACGACGAGTGCGACGACGAGTGCGACGAGCACGACGACGAATGCGAGGACGAGTACGATGGCGAGGCACGACGACGAGTACGATGACGAGTAAAACGATAGAACGGCAACGAGTACGACGACGAGTACGACGAGTACGACGACGAGTGCGACAAGTACGACGATTCGCGACGAGGGTTTAGAACGCAGGATTGCGCAAATATGATAATGACAAGCAAACACATAAGATTAAACATCAGTATGTGGGGTTCCTCGGTAGCGCAATTTGACCCTGACGTCACGATCTGTGCAAGGGGTGCCACCGATTTTCAGAATTTCGAAGATGTCCCTAGCGAAACGGCCAGCAAAAATCGCGAACGCGGCGCGTACGCATCTATCGCCTCTGAGCTCTACTCCCTCGGAGAGGTGCGTATGATTATATATACATATTTATATGTACACACATAAATATTTATATATATACACATAAGAGAACGGAATATGAAACAGAACGAGAAATATAAATAGTGTGAGAGAGAGAGAGAGAGAGAGAGAGAGAGAGAGAGAGAGAGCGAGAGAGAGAGAGAGAGAGAGAGAAAAAAGAGAGAGAGAGAGAGAGAGAGAAAGAGAGAAAGAGGGAGAGAAAGAGATAGAGAGGGATGGATTGGGAGGGGAGGAGGAGGAGGAGGAGGAGGAGGAGGAGGAGGAGGGAGGAGGAGGAGGAGGAAGGAGGAGGAGGAGGAGGAGGAGGAGGAGGAGGAGGAGGAGGAGGAGGAGGAGGAGGAGGAGGAGGAGGAGGAGGAGGAGGAGGAGGAGGAGGAGGGGGAGGAGGAGGAGGAGGAGGAGGAGGAGGAGGAGGAGGAGGAGGAGGAGGAGGAGGAGGAGGAGGAAGAGGAAGAAGAAAAAGAAAGAAGAAGAAGAAGAAGAAGAAGAAGAAGAATAAGAATAATAATAATAATAAGAAGAATAAGAAGAATAAGAAGAAGAATAAGAAGAAGAAGAAACAGAAAAAGAAAAAGAAGAAGAGGAGGAGGAGGAGGAGGAGGAGGAGGAGGAGGAGGAGGGGGAGGGGGAGGGGGAGGGGGAGGAGGACGAGGAGGAGGATGCCCCTGACACCTGCCCCTTGACCCCCGCGAGGGCAGACGACGGAAGCAGCAGCAGGCTATCCGTGGCCACGTCTGCCCCACCCCCTTCGGCGAGGCTGGAGAGGCCTCGGGGGTGCCGCCGAGCTGCCCCCCCACGCGCGGCGACTGTGCGCCCCCCCCCCCCCGGCCGCGCCGCCGCCGGCATCGCCGTCTTCGTCCGCCGCCCGCCGCCGCCGTCGTCCGCCCGCCTCCACCGATCGGGGGAGCGTAAGACCCGGGTTCGCCAGGACTCGGGTTCGCCATCGTTTTTTGACGACAGGGACTCGGATTTTGACGAGCAGGAGTTTCGTGGGATGTCTGCAGCGGGAGGCCTCGACAAAATGCAGGCTCGGCTTCGTCATTTTTTTGACGACCTCGTCGGGGATTTCCGAGTCCCCTGTACCCGGGTCTTACGCCCTCCTGAACCGAGCGCGTCCCACAACTCGCAAAGTGCCTGCACGCAAACGCCAGGGAGAAAACATGCTCGGCTCGACGTGGCGGATGGTGAGCCCCCCGGGCGGATCCAGGCCACCTGCGAGCAGTCAGTTACTTACTTTGCGAGTAGTGGAGCGCGCTTGTTTCTGTCTCCCCGAGGCTCGGGGATCGGTCTTGGCCCACCCTGGCCTCTTGGGCCTCCGGGCGCCGTGGTCGATCTTGGCCCGCCTGGGCTTTTGGGGCCTCGCGAGGCCCTCTTCGGGCCAGCGGGCATACGAACACATGTGATATTTCATTCGGGGGGGGGAGCCTCTCCTGAACTGGCCCGCCCCCCCCCCCGGGCCTTCCTGGGCAGCCCGAGAGGCTGCCGAAAGGTCTCTGGCACGGAACTCTGTGGCCATTGTCGGGCGCGTGGTGGGTCGAGGCCTCGCTCGTGTGCCGAGCCCTGCTCTCCCCTCTGAGCTCGCGTCCTCCCCGTCCGCCCGTCGTCCTCGCCGTCGTTTTCTTGCCTTTCCCCCCGCGAGGAGAAGGCAACGAGATGGGGGAGGAGCTGGAAGAACGCGAGGAGGGGGAGGAGGTGATTATGATGATGATGCTGATGCTGATGCTGATGCTGATGATGATGATGATGATGATGGTGGTGGTGGTGGTGGTGATGATGATGGTGATGATGATGATGGTGGTGATGATGATTCGTATGATACTGATGATGATGCTGATGGTGAGGACGAGGATGATGATGATATGATGATGATGATGAGGATGATGAAGGTGATGGTGATGGTGATGCTGATACTGATGATGCTGATGCTCACGATTATAATGATGATGACGATGATGCTGATGATGGTGATGATGGTGGTGGTGATGATGATGATGGCGGTGATGATGATGCGCATGATGCTGATGATGCTGATGATGAGGATGATGGTGGTGGTGGCGGTGATGGTGATGGTGGTGCTGATGCTTATGATGCTGATGGAGTTGATGATGATGATGATGATGATTCTGATGAGGAGGATGACGATGATGATAATGGTGGTGATGATGATGATGGTGATGATGATGCGTATGATTCTGATTATGATGATGCTGATGATGAGGATTTGGATGATGATGGTGATATGATGATGATGATGATGATGAGGATGATGACGGTGATGGTGATGCTGATGTTGATGCTGATGATGCTGATGCTGATGATGATGATTATGATGATGATGGTGGTGGTGGTGATGGTGATTATGATGGTGGTGATGATGCTGATGCGTATGATACTGATGATGATGCTGATGATGAGGATGAGGATGAAGATGATATGATGGTGATGATGAGGATGAGGAATGATGACGGTGATGATGATGGTGATGCTGATGCTGATGATGCTGATGCTGATGCTGATGATGATTCTGATGCGGAGGATGATGCTGGTGATGATGATGATTATGATGATGATGATGGTGGTGGTGGTGGTGGTGGTCATGATGGTGGTGGTGATGATGATGGTGATGCTGCGTATGATACTGATGATGATGTTGATGATGAGGATGGGGGTGACGAGGATATGCTGATGATGAGGATGATGACGGTGATGGTGATGCTGATGCTGATGCTGATGATGTTGATGCTGATGATGATGATGATGATGATGATGATGATGATGATTATGATGTGGGTGACGATGATGATGATGATTCTGATGATGTTGATGTTGACCATGATGCTGATGATGATGATGGTGATGGTGATGGTGGTGGTGGTGATGACTGTGGTGATGATGATGATGATGCGTATGATACTGATGATGATGCTGATGATGAGGATGAGGATGATGGTAACATGATGATGATGAAGATGATGACGGTGATCGTGACGGTGGTGCTGATGTTGATGATGCTGTTGCTGATGATGATGCTGCTGATGATGATTATGATTGGGAGGATGACGATGATGATGATGATGATGATGATGATGATGATGATTCTGATGATGATGATGATGATGATGACGGTGGTGGTGGTGGTTGAGGTGGTGGTGAGGATGATTGTGGTGATGATGCGTATGATACTGATCATGATGGTGACGATGAGGATGAGGATTATGATGATGCTGACGATGATGATGATGAACATGCTGACGGTGATGGTGATGGTGATGCTGATGCTGTTGATGATGCTGATGCTGCTGATGGTGATGATTATGATGAGGAGGATTCTGACGATGATGCTGACGATGCTGATGATGGTGGTGGTGGTGGTAGTGATGATGATGGTCGTGGTGATGATGATGCGTATGATACTGATGATGATGATGATGCTGATGATGCTGATGCTGAGGATGATGATGATGATGATGGTATTATTATGATGATGATGAGGATGATGCCGGTGATGGTGATGGTGATGTTGATGCTGATGATGCTGATGCTGATGATGATGATTATGATGAGGACGATGGCGATGATGATGCCGATGATGATGGTGGTGGTGGTGGTGTCGGTGCTGATGATGGTGGTGATCATGATGCGTATGGTGCTGATGATGCTGATTGGTGAGGATGAGGATGATGATGATGACGACGGTGATGGTGAAGGTGACGCTGATGCTGATGATGCTGATGCTGATGCTGATGATGATGATGATGCTGATGCTGATGCTGATGATGATGATGATGCTGATGATGATGATTATGATGAGGATGCCGATGATGTTGACCATGATGATGATGATGATGATGATGCTGATGATGCTGACGATGATGATGATGCTGATGATGATGATGATGAAGAATAATATGCTGATGCTGATGTTGCTGCTGCGGATGATGATGTTGATGATGCTGATGCTGATGATGAGGATAATCATGGTGATCATGATCATCAGTGTTATGATGGTGATCACGGATTCCCTTCGGGGATCATCCGTTAAAATTGGAACGATACAGAGAAGATTAGCATGGTTATGATGGTGATCATGTTGTTGCTGGTGGTGGTTGTAAGTGAAGGGGCCCAGAGACACAAACAACGTGACACAATTAACTGGATTCCGAATATTTCCCATATTTTCTGTGTGTTGTCTTCCCCCCACTTCCATATTTTCCTGGGAGTCGATGATTCGTTGTGTCTGCGTGTTTTTTCATCTCCTGAGTAAGTGATGGTGATGCAGATGCTAATGATGTGGAAGAGGAGGTGGAGGAGAAGAAGGCCGTGGAGGAGAAAGAAGACTATTGGGAGGGGTGGGGGAAGGAGGAGGAGGAGGACGAGGGATGAGGATGGAGTCCTCTTGTTTTTCTCCCTCCGAGGAGGAGCAGGACCCATACCTCTGACGGCGACGGCGTGAGGAACAAACACCCCGACCCCGACATTCAGCGTTTACTAAACGGCCCTGGGCGTTTACTAAACAGCCCTGCCCTGTTCGATTCCTGCTTTGTGCGCGGTTACTAAATGGCTTCGCCCGTCGGGGTGCTTATCATGAGGGCGGATTTTCTGAAGGTTAAGTTGGACCTTTTCTCATCCAGGGTCGATTTTTGACTGTTTCTGGTCCCGTTGAAGGCTCCCTGAGGCCAAAGAGGGCAAATGACCTCCCGCCGTAATTGTTTTTTGTTGGAGCGAGAGGAGGTCCAGGGAGGGAGAGATGGTGCAGGAGGAGGAGGAGGAGGATAATTTGGAGGATGCGGCGGAGGAGCAGAAGGTGGAGCAGGAGGGAGGAGGAGGATGTATTTCCGATTCTTAATTCATATTCGTATGAAAAAGGTACCACGTGGCTCTCCAGATATTTAGATGTTGTTTCATCCCGACTCGTTTTTTGATTGCCCCCGGGCTTGACGAGGGCCCTCAGTGACCAAAGGGGTCGAAGAACCTCCCGTCGGGATTTGGTTCTTTCGCAGCGAGGGGACATGATAATGATGATGATGATGCTGATGCTGATGCTGATGCTGATGATGACGACGATGGTGATGATGCTGATGATGATGCTGCTGATGATGATGCTGATGATGCTGATGATGATGATGATGATGATGATGATGATGATGATGATGATGATGATGATGATGATGATGATGATGAGAGTAAACCCAAGACTCATCAACGATGATGCAAGAGACTGTCCCTCCATGTTCCCTCGTCCTAGGGCCTAAGGAGACTTGGTTTCCATTACGGAGAATGCACCATCGGAAAACAACCGTCTGATTTTTTCAATCGCGCAGAACACCATTCCTGTGACATCTGCTTTGTGGATAAACGTGGCTGTTGCGTCCCGACAATTCCAACTCTTACCAGCACCATTCCTGGGAATTCGACCATGCGAATCCTTGAAGCTGATGCAAACTTGTACAAACGCGGATTCACAAATGTGAAGCGTAGTTAGTCTCTCTGCACCCTCCCTCCGCACTTGCTTGCATCCGTCTCACTTCCCCCTCTGCTCTCCTTGTCTTCTCCGCAGCCTTTTGGGTCACAGGGGGGACCGCTTGCTCTAGAATGCGAGGAACTCGCTGGGTCCCGCCCGCAGGCAGGGCCGGCGTCCACCTGCATCGGCAGGCTCGTGTTCGCCTCCCGGGGGCTGCAGGGGAAAGCCGGGGCGCACGCCCGGCGTCCGCTGTACGACGCCCTCGGGCACCTTGAGGCTGCCCAGCGCGCTGGCGAATGGCCTCCGCAGGCACAGGTGGCCCTCCGCTTGTGGGCGCACCTGCTGCG